AAGCCCCTGCTAACGGATCAAGGCTATGCTCACACTGACAGAGCAGCCGTCCTCCTGTGGACTCACCACCTGCAGGAGGGTCAGTGAGGGGCTGGTGCTCTGTGACTTGGGTGGTGTCTCTGATTGCCACCCCCCGAAAGAATATATACAAAGTGAGATGGGCCTGGTCCAGTTTCCAGGTATTCAACTCGAGCCCTGTTTACACGGAGACGCAAAAACGACCACACTAGATTCAAAAAGAGCGTGACACAAACCACTCTTTTCAAGCAAATATTTACTTATATTTTATCATTTTTTGCAGTGTCCGCTTCCTTGTGTTGACTCCTAGCTTTAGAAGGACGTCCAATCAATGCTTTTCCACTTCTAATTTGGGAGAAAAAGTGCAGCGGGACGACAAAAGTTGCGGTAACCTTTCGCTCGGCCATTAGATGATGCTGCTGCAGGCGATGGGAGCACAGAGAGCGCTGAGAGAACACAGTGGACGCTGTTTTCTCCCCTGTCGAGGTCGGGAGGAAAGATGCTTGCAGCTGCAGTCTCTAAACTTCTAAAACTGGCCAAATAAGGTGCCTTAGTGGTTCACCTCAAACAGCATGTATATATATATAGCGCTGAGCTGGGTTAATAGAAATGGGATGAAGTACAAAAAACTGCTAAAGAAATACTGGCCTACTTAAATGAGTTAAATAATACCATGAAACATTCAGTAAATCCTGTTAAATTTTAGATCAAAGGTGTTTCTCTGCTTACGTTAAGCTGGTGTTCAGAGTTAGACGGTTAGGGCCTCATCAGTGAAGAGAAGAGGGAGGGAGCAGAGGGGACTTTGGAAATCTACTGGAAGTTAGAGTTTAGTTTATTAAGGAAAATGTGCATTAAAAAGACGGCTGCAGCAGATTTAACAGTATGTTTAATGACAGGTACAGATTTAAAGTAGTGCGGTGCTAAATCTGGTGCAGACATCTTTTGAATGCACATTTTCCTTAATAAACTAAACTCTGTGTTCTGGTTCAGAATCTCTACGTTGTCACTGTGACTTGTAACTGTATTTTAACAGTATGTTTATGGCTGTTTTGTCAGGTGCCACAGATTTAAAGTAGCACGGTGTGTCAAGTCCTTTAAAGTTTTGATGTCTGAATGCAGGTTCAACTTTTTATTGTTATTAGTTGCAGCAGCAGCAACAGCAGTACACTCTAAAAAGTAATGACTTAACCCAACAAGAAAAATTGAGGCAACCCTCTGCATTGGTCTTATTACGTTGTATCAACTTAAGTGAATATGAGTTCAACTGATTGCTTTTCTTAATTTTAGGCAACTTGATTTTCTAAACTGATTAATTGTTTATTCACTTAAGACACACTCAATATATATGTGCGTTGCTCGACATTTTTGAGTTGCTTGCTTACTTATTTGAGTTGCTTCCACTTAAATTGTTTAACAAGTTTAACTCATTTAAAAATGTTAACAACTTGAATTTTTTTCTTGTAAATACAATATTTTAAGTTGGCTAAACTTAACTTTATCTTTCATTTTAACCTTTTTAGTTACATTTTACAACACAATTATCACAAACAAACGTATGATTGACAAGCTGTATTTATTGTGTGCTTCAACATTTTTAGAGAATTAAAGTTGAACGACACATTGCCTAACAACTTACATTTATTAAAAAAAATATAAACACTGTATGACTGGCAAAGGTGCTTAAAACTTAACAAATACCTTGCAAAAATGTCTCCTGTTCCAGGTATAATCTTTAAAATCTATTTTCATTGTCGGTACAATACAACATTTGAAAAGTAACAATTACAATGGTCTCACACTGTTCAAAACAACTCAACTATTGAACAATTCCTTAACTTGTAAACTGCAAAAAGTTCATTTTAGAAAATGCTGTTTTTCAAAGCAAGAATCTTTGCACTGGTTTTAAGAGGGTCAAGGTTCAGAAAAAGTTTCTGGAAAACCTCAAAAGTGTATTTAAGTTGTTTTTTATAGCTGAGGTTCAAAGCATATATGAAGCCCATGAGTAAAGCACAGCACCTCGGTAGGTTGTTTTCATTGATTACTTCGGTTCCTTCAATGATGATTGTGGAGGTTGTGGATCCTGAGTCACAGATGGTAGCAATGTTCATTGTCATGCTGAAGAGATTCTCTTCCAGGTCCTCGATGTTCTTTTAGGTAACAAAAAAACAAGAAGATGTCAGCTTTATTGGGCTAGGTATAAATGTGATGTTTATCTCTTGTTGTCTATTGTATTCAAAATAGTAATTGCCATATGATGCTAACAAATTGCTTGCATGTGGGATATTGATCATATGTTATTCTAGTATATTGTTTATAGTAAATAAATGCTAATTTGTTTCTGTTTTAAATGTATAATTGTAAACTTAAATTAGAGTTGAAAGATGGTTTTGTATTTTTGTCCTTCACTTGACAATTTGATGACTGTTGATGTGTACCTGTCTGGTCTTTATGTGTGACTCAGTCAAGTAAACAGTGCAGTACGTAGCTTCTCCCACAATTCATAGTGTCAAACAGCTACCAAGCTCTTCTACGTTCTTCTCTTTATGCGCTTGACTTGTCTATTTATGTGTAACTACATGTCTCGTGTAAAAGTTCACATAACTGTATTTAAATAGAGAAAACGTAGAAGAGTTTGGTATAGCTTCTTCTAATGTCTCCCTGTTTGACACTGTATGAATAGTGGGAGAAGCAACGTCTGCACTGTTTATGTGACTGAGCCACACACAAAGACCAGACAGGCCCACCTGGGCTTAGCTCAAGTAAGAACATATCCCAGTATGGAAAGATGTGTAAAAAATGCATATCTGTTAGATTGATTTTTGGGATATAAACCTATTCATTTTTGTAGATCTTGCCACCAAATGTACCTGAAATTGCTTGAAGAGGTCCTCCTCTTTCTCCCCCAAGTAAAGGATGAGGGAGCGAATAGCTGCCTCTCGACGAGCATCGATAGTATTGCACTGAAAAATAAAGTTATAAGTAGATTAGGTTTTTCAACAAAAGTGTAATATATTTAAAATACATACCTGGAAGAGAGAGTCTTTAATTCTCCTTATTTTCTCTCCAGTTGCTCCTCCCCGACATGATCCCAGGTTCAATAGCTTCAATGAACATAGATCCAGCTGTGCCATGAATGTGGACTCCAGACTTACAGTGGTTATTCTTTTAAATTCTTCGTTCAGCTAAAAAAAAAAACACAACACATTTGTCAGAGTTGATAAGGTAAAATTAAGTCAAAGGTAGATCAAAGGAAAATTAATTACCTGTTGTGGATTGAATAGTGCAGGCCAGCGCTCCATGATGTCCTTCACAGCAGGCTCATTGCTTAGAATTTCTTGGCGGCGAAGGGAAAAAGTACAAGCCATTTTTTTTGGAATTGTATGACTATCCTTCTTGGTCACTTCCAGTAAAAGGTCCTGTCTCTCTTTTTCAAGACTGGCACTTGTTTCCCCTTGAGGATGTGGGGGCAAATAATTAACCTCAGCCTTCTTAGGCTTCTTTACATTCTTTGCGGCAGTTTGCTCGTGTTGTCGTTTCCTCGTTAGTGAATTAACAGTCAGCTCTGGGCAGCCAATGCCTCTCAACTTGGATCGAAAGTTCCCCATTTTGTATTTGAGTCGCTGGATCCAACCATAGCATCCATTGAATGAGCCTGGCTCATGAAGACAGGGGTGTTTGAGAACCAATGCTGCTGCAACTTGACTGAGGTGCGCACTTGAAGGATATGCTGTGTATTGAAAAATAGATTCAGCTAGGTGACCTAGGATATCTGGTAAGATTGTCATCAGGTCCTTGGAGGGCAGCAAAGTCCCAGACAAACTATACTGTTCGTTCCCTGAAGCAAGCACCATTTCTGTGGTTGATGAGAAACGTGGGATTGAAAAGTTCACTGGCCAAGCTTTAGTACGGTGATTTTCAGATGAAGATGATGAAGTGGTGGAAGATGGTGACACAGGCAAAGTGTCAGAGGACACTGAAGAGGAGGCATCTTCTAAAAGCGGATTAGGGGTCAGTGAAATAATTTCACTTGTGCTTGAAAAGGAGGTGTTGACAGGTGATAAAGTCAGAGTTAAAGTTGGTTCCTGGATATGTACAACTTTGATGGTGTCCTTATCCTTAATGTCCATTGTAGAAAGCAGGGAAAAAAACTCATTTGCAAAATCTGCATCCTTGTAGTGCAATGCAAAATCCCCCAAAATGTTGAATGCCTCTTTTACTGTTGCATGAAGTTCTTCGACTGTTGATGGAATTCCACTTGGTAGGACTAATTTGCGTATTACATGGTCACTAATCAAAACTCGAAGAATAGTTGATTCTGTCATCATTCTGTTGAAAATAGAAAACAATGTTTTAGAAGATAGTTTAAGATAGTCAGGAAACTATCTAACTTATTCAACTGTAATGAAACGCTTTAGGGTCACCATCTTTTGCCCACCCAACAGGTAAGCCTGTAAAGGGCACACGTCAGTTAAATCTGAAGGCTCAATAGCTTTTAGTGTGTGAGTTTTCTCAACAATAAAGCTTCTCAGATGCTCAACTGACCATGCAGTAAGGCATTCTACAACAAACGTAAGTGACCCTTTTGCAACAGCTATTTGCAAAACCTCAGCAAAATCTGGAAGACCCCCTGTTGAGCCATGTGCCAGAATCATTCCAACTGCATACTTTGTGCCATTGAAATGTACACTTTTAGTTATGTGTACCTGAGTCTCGTTTGGGAATTTCAGGTGCAGTGCATCCTGAATGTCTTGTCTTAACACAGAAATATCTACTGGTGACATCTGTGATGCTTGTAATGTGGGGTTAACAATACCACCTTCGTGTTGGTTGTAATATGCCATCATGAGTTGATGTTTTGTAGCAAGTGTTAGCATAATGTTACGAAAGCAGTGGGTGTGTCTTGCTACACGCTTAAAAAAACTGTGCTTTGCCTCAAACCGCATTGTCCATTGATGTACTAGAGGACCATAGGCTCTGATCAGATGAGCATAGTGCTCAAGGTAATGCTGTTTGGGTGTTAGTTTTTCAGTTGGAAACACTTGAAGGAACTTGTGTCTGTGTTCAGAGATTTTACTGTCAAGGTAGCATATTGTTTCCTCTGTTTGGACATGGCCAACAACAAGTTCAACTATGTCCTTTAGCAGTAAAAGTACTTCCCATGCTGCCTCGCCTTCTGGAATAGTGGCTCCAATTAGGAATGGTAGAAATCTTAATAGGGACCAATTTTCATGGGCGTTACCCCCAACACTTTTTTTAGCAGCAAAATTCAAGGGAACTTGTTGTGGAGCATTTGTCTTATCTGACCCTTTGTAAGGAAAGGCTTTGATGTTGTTATTAAGTTCAGCAATAGTGAAATACTTATTCTGAATGAACACTTGAAGACACAAAGCTATTTCTCTGGGCACTATACCCTCAAATAAATCATGCATTACATCTGGCGGGTAACCTGATGTAACATGGAAATGCTCAAGAGTATGTGAGAGTATGCAAGGCCTTTTTACTCCACAGATGTGATTTAAAGCAGCATTGTTCTGCACAGTCCGAACATGCTCTTCATGTTGTTCCTTAGTCCTTAGAGAAAATGTTCCTGTTCTAACCTCATGTGTCTGAAACTCTGTTTGTTGCCCCAAACAAAAGCGACACACATAAGAACCACTGAAACTTTCTACAAATCCTCCCATGGAATGAGCACCAAGATTATCAGCCACAACACTGAACACTGTTCCTTTTACCTTTTTTCCAAGTGAGGCAATGTATAGTCCTTCTTTCTCCAAAGTGACTAGATCTTTGATCAGGGGCTGTAGTATGGAACTGTAGCCAAATTTCTTCACGTCATCTGACCTGCAGAGAACAGCCACGTAAATGGATGTCAAGGAAGACCTAAGTAGTGCAGGAACATCAGCTAACACCCAATAAACAGCAGTGATTTTGTGCTTTTTCCTCGAGGTTCCCAGTGGATTGCATATCTCAAAATCATCACAGTAAAGTGTAATGGCAACTGTAGGATTGTTTTCACAAAACAGTGCATTTGTTTTATAGTGAAGGCCATCGGAAAATGATTTGTATATCATGTCATTGTTAGATTGTTTGTTAGACAAGACTATATCAAGTATGTTTTTTTCATTTAATACTTGGAGGAGTGAAGTCAAAATGGGAACATATTGAAAACTTCTGCCATTTTCACGATCAAGTATAAATTCCACTGGATCAATGATTGAAAAGTTTCTCTTGAAATAAGCCCTTCTTTTAAAAGCAGTGGAAAGTGGTCCACTTTTGCTCAGGGTTGAAGTTAAGGGATGGGCTTCACAAAGCCCTGTCACCATGTCAGACAAAACAGATTCTTCCAACTCACAGTTGTGCTTCCTCAAACATGTCTTTATAGTTTCATTTGTAATAGAAGCTGCAGCTGACTGAGAGATGAAATGCAGCTCTTCAATAACATCATCAATGCATCTATTAGAAACCTGAAATGTGCTTTCCATTTTAAGTAACATTAATGCAACATGTTTTTCAATTCTGTTTGGTTCTGTCACATTATCCTCTTCAGTAAAGGCATTACAATCATCCTGTTCAACATCCATATCAATAGTGCTATCTGTGGCTGTTGTGTTTGCATACCTCAACAAGTCTCCTTTAAAATCCTGCAGGGAGTGAGGAGTATGCCTTCTGCTTCTGTGTGAAGAAAACGACCCATACACATTAGTTCTGAAATCACAATTCTTAAACACACAGTTGACCATCTCATTGTTTTTTAAATGTTTGGTAAGGTGTTCAAAAAAATCCCTTTCTGTAGAAGTTGTGGTGTTACAACATTCACAAGTGAAACATAGTGTTTGTGCAGCACTAGCACTAGCATTTTTACAGACTGCACGAGAGTGGTTTCTCGAACAATGGGATTTAAGATTTCCCCATGTCTTGAATGTACAATAACAATTTTGATATGGACAGAGCAAGGTTTGTCCGCCATGACCATGACACAGTCTAAAATGTTTCATCAAAGCCTGTCTGGAAGGTGCTTTGAGTTGGCAGACTTTGCAGATCCAGTCCATTTTGAAAAAAAATATTGTAGAATATTACACAGAGCATTGGTTTCCTTACTAAGACATGCCAAAAAATATATATTTTGAGAAAAGAGAGTGAAAAAGGTGGTTTAATTAAGCAACACAAACTGTTGCTAGCACAAGCGGTGCTAGCGCACGTGTTGTATTTTTTGAAAGAAAATTGTACACAAACTAAGTTAATAAGACTGCTACTCTGTTAACTACAGTACCTGTAGATGTTATCACAATGTTTGTGTTTTAAATAATGGACACGTACCTTAAAACGTAGTTTCACAGTGGTGTTTTTCTCCTTTGAAAAGCGGTCGACAGTTCACAGACAGTGCAGCCATGTGCTCTTTGGGACTTTCCCAGACGTGTCCAGTGGGCGGAGCAAGGTGCCGAGTTAAAACATTGAGTTGCGGGAGTGCTTTTTTTTGTCAGTGCAACTAGATTTTCTTTTATAGTTGTTTTAATGTGAAAATGTCTCTCTTAACAATGGTGTATTTCAAGTCAATCCAACATCCTGAGTTTTTGAGTGACACTAACAATTAAAATCACAACTAAAGCACATACAATTAAGTTCCTATAAACAATGCACTTTTTCAACTTCCAGGAACACAATTATTCAAGTCATTGCAACAGAACCCATGGATGACTTTTTAGTAGTAGCAGCAGGGCGAAAACCTTTGGGAAAAATATACAATTTTAATAAACAAGTTATCTCAAATAATCTTTTTAACGAATGACTTTTAAACTAATTTGTATTATTTTTACCATATTTTTAACTTAAATTCTATTGTAATTGTTATCATAATTTTAATATTGTATTACAAAAAATACAATCCAAATGTGTTTAGAATTTAACTGATATATATTTTTACTGTTTTTTTTACTACAGAACAGATTTTATCATAATATTTTAACATTTGTATTGTATCACACTGAGAATGATTGAAGATTATTTATCTTCTCTTCCACACGACAATAAGCTGTATTTTCCTGACTTCCACTGATCCAGTTGGTTCCCCTTGTTTTTGCTGTGTTTCCCAATCTACAGCCTAAACTTAAAATAACAAAAGTGATCGGAAGATAGACAGACATAGCAGTAAGAGTAGATTAGAAAGATTTCTCAGATGTTGGCAGAGATTGACTTAACACGGTGCTAAAATACTTCACAGTGTTCAAAACACAATATAGAGGTTGTGAACCCAAACGCTCTGGCCACTTACAGCTGTACGTAATCCTTATTTATACAGCGCCTTTCACAGACCAGAGCCACAAAACGCTTTACAATCAGTGCAGGCGTTTGTCTCTCACTCCACACAGAGATGGGAGCCAGAGCTATTGTTCATGTTTTTAATTCAATTCAATGTATTCTTGTATCGCCCTGTATCGCTGCAGGACTTATCTGCAGTTATCTGGGAGGACTTTCCACAACCGTTGAATTTGCAAACAACAGATCAGAGAATCAACAGCTCAAACTCAAGAAATAAAACGTAATTGGTCCGTAAGGGGCAGATAAATGATCATAGATGTTGAGTGTCCCTGACGGACAGAACGCCAGACACTTTAAAGACCTTATGCCAGGTTTGATTTATTTAGAAATACAGTTTTAATACCATGTTATATTAGAAGAGAACTACTAAAGGTTTCAAAATCAGTTGTTGTTTTTTTTGTCTGATTCCCCCAAATCGAAATAACCGCATAGCAACGCCCTTAGAGACGAAAAAACTTCACAGCCCTTGGTGACGTCAGAGTGGGTACGTTTCAACGCTGTAAGTTGTTTACAATTTGGTATTTGTTCTTTTTTCGCGGGCAATTCATTTGTAGCATAAACTCAAAGCAGAACACACACACTCTACACAAACACACAGTGAGTCACACAGCAGCAGGTTACACAAAATAAGCTAAACAACAACAATGAACGACACAATTCCCAAAGTCAACCACCTCTACCAGAGTTCAACAGTTTTATGGCAGATGCACAAAAGAATTGGAGAAATGGTTTGTTTTCAGCGCTGAAGCATAAAAAGTCAGCGATCAGAGGATGTTTGGGCTGAGCCAGAATCCTTTTTTTGGCTTTATTCAGCACCTGTTCCTCCCACAGAGATGGTGCACACTGGGGTAGTCTTGCACAGTTTTTCCAATCTGGTTTTACTGCAAATGGCAAATAAATGAATCTGAATCTGAGAGTGAAGGTGTCTTGAGTTTTCCTCCAATGATTCTGGAGCAAGTTCTCACAACGCTCTGTAACCTGTTCCTTTCCTTCAGCGTCAGGCTTTGGAACCAACAGATAAAAGAAAAGCTAAGAAGGCTTTCAATAAAATAACAATAAAGAGTATTAATATTTGTCCTGTTTACATTAAAAGAGTTCAACTTCCTCAACAGGTCCACTCTTCCAAGATACTTGTAACTGTCCACGATTTCAACATTCCCACCGTGGATGACGCTGGTGGTTTATGCCCGGGACAAAATGTGGCCGACCAATCAGAGTGTGAGGGCGGGCTTTATACAGTGATTGGCAGGTGAGCAACGTAAGCGTCATTAAAGAGCGGTTGGGTAGAATACTCCGGAGATCTTTTCAGCTCAGATCTATTTTTACTGAACTTGTGGGATCAGTGAAAACAATCAAAATAAAAGTCCAAGCTGTATGAATACTTTTGAGAGGCTGCAATGAAGGGATTGAGAGATTATATATATATTTGTACTTCTGCGGTCTCCTTTTGAGCTCTCTAAAGCACTTGAACGAACATCGATGTCTTTATGTCTTTCTCTGAGCTCCAATAAACCTGAACCGAGCCTCATTTAAACCTCGTACTCACACAAGATGTTTTATCAAGTTCAAGAGACCAGCAGTGTATCATTTTCAACAGCAATTTCAGTTTTAAAAGATTACATTCTGGACCTGGTATTTCTGTTATTCACCGGAATCTCTTTCATGAGCCACTTCTAAACACTCTGCATTTTGACTACAACCTTCAGCTGAAAATGCTTCTGTAATACTATGATTACAGCCTCATTTCATTTCCATTTTTTGGGCTGAGACTTTATTTTCACAGAATCCTCAGTAATCTTGCTGCAAACACCTTAACTCACAGCGTAGGAGCTCGTCCACTGTCACATGTTTGAGAAACCTGAACTTAACCCCGTGGAACCAGTGGTGGCGGGTCCCAGGTCCAAAAGGGCCATGAAGTGCCCTGACATGCTGCAATACCACTCCGGGCCTGTGGGGGTGTACCCGGAAAGAGAATTACCCAATGCTTTTGTATGGCGTCTTCTGCCCTCTCTAAAACGTCTGTACAGGATGGTCCAAAAGTGGTTCTTGGTCCAAAAGTGGTTCTTGGTCCAAAAGTGGCTCTTGGTCCAAAAGTGGCTCTTGGTCCAAAAGTGGTTCTTGGTCCAAAAGTGGCTCTTGGTCCAAAAGTGGTTCTTGGTCCAAAAGTGGCTCTTGGTCCAAAAGTGGCTCTTGGTCCAAAAGTGGCTCTTGGTCCAAAAATGGTTCTTGGTCCAAAAGTGGCTTTTGGTCCAAAAGTGGTTCTTGGTCCAAAAGTGGTTCTTGGTCCAAAAGTGGTTCTTGGTCCAAAAGTGGTTCTTGGTCCAAAAGTGGCTCTTGGTCCAAAAGTGGCTCTTGGTCCAAAAGTGGTTCTTGGTCCAAAAGCGGCTCTTGGTCCAAAAGTGGCTCTTGATCCAAAAGTGGCTCTTGGTCCAAAAGTGGTTCTTGGTCCATAGCTACGTTCCAGATGCTGTCGATGTTCTGGACCAGTCTAGTTTATCCGCTGTGGACTTTTGAATGCACTCCTTTGCACACCCTACAACAGAGATAGGCGTGACTATGTCTGTCAATATTTACAGTCCATGCGTGGAACCCAAACATCACAAGATTTGCCGAAAATAAAAATCTGTGTATGTTTTTTATCAATGGTAAGAAAATGTGTATGGGTGTAACGATCTATTTAATCGGTGTATCGATGTGTCTCCCCTGCGATCCAGCTACATCAATCAGCTACATTTGGCCTCGATCCAAGCCACACAACGACACTACATCGTTTTAAATGGAAAAATGACGATTGTAATGAAATATTTCTATTTTATGTTTTTCTCTCGTGTCATCAACAAGCCCAGGGCTTAAAGTTTTCCGGCACCGTGCCGGAAATCCGGCGTGAGAAAAAAAAAAAAAAAAAAACTTTTTTTTTTTTTTTAATATATATATAAATAAATAATGATTGCTGTCATTTGAAAAAGGTTCAAGTGTGTTCTACCAATTGTATGAAAGGATTGCATGTGTATAGCGCAGGGATTAAAGAGTTCCGTCTAAGTGACGGATTTCCGTCAAATGAAATTGGTCTGAAAAAAAAACAAAATATATAATAATAATATAATACACACAATGAAATGGTTAATTATAACAAAATATATAGTAATACGTGTGAATCTGTTGTATATATCTAGATATATATTAATAATTTGAATATAATTGTATTTATATGTATATAGAAATAAAAAGTAATATAATCACGAGTGGGCCTTGAACGTGCCGTGGCTAGCTACATGAGCGCTCCGTAAATGATTCAAGGCAATGGGACGTAGCCAAGTTAGCGATGGTAACACGGAGGTGAAAGTTTCTGAAAAGTGCACGGAGCTTTTGAAAAGGAGAAGAGGACAAGGAAAATGTAATCCCGAACGGAGCAATAACAGCCAGCAGCCCGCGGACCGGTAAACTGGGCGCGTTATCAGAGGAAAGGTAGGACATAATTAACGTTTACCAAACGCAATGCTTTTTTATTTAACAGAATGTACAATATGTACTTTGCTGTGACTGGGAATGGGGACAAGCATGTCTTGGTGAGCTTTTGATAATATCTTGGTGGCGATCCCCATGCAAAACTGCGTGATAAAAAAGCAAATCAACGAGAGCGAACGGAAGAAACTCGCTGAAGAAAGGTGTGTGTTAGCAGGTCTTATATTCATTCATCAAAGCTAGCCTAGCATTCACGCACAATCACAATCATGGATCGTTGTTTATGGAAGAAGGAGCTGTATAAGTTGCTGTTGATAACGGAGTGAAAAATAAATGGAGGTGGGCATGGCTGGATGAGGTGGAGACGATGGGATTCTGTTGCTTCATGGTGCAAAAAGATGAAGGTGTCCGGTGCTTGTTCGTACTTCGCTATTATTATTTTTTTATATGGGAGTAATGAGAAAACAAATCAAACAGCTTTGGATTCACCACCAGCTCAAAACTGCGCACTTCGCAGCTGTCCGTGCACTTTCCCACACTTCTTTACCTGGTGCATCAGATTCAGCGACAACTGAGACTAGGCTTGCTCTGGTGGACTGTGTCTGTGACCTAAAACTATCTGTGGCTTTATCGCAGAAAATAACCTGTCGTTCAGAACCATCACTACCGCTGGTAGATTTAATTATCATTAATCATTTGCAGTTGATAAAACTGCGCTGTGCACTAGCACCAAGTTGATAGGGAAACCTTTTTCTTAAACATTGAGTGTCCACAAACAAATGTGGACAGAATTTTGAATGTCCTTTTTAACATGTTGGGCGGAGGGTTTAATGAGGAGGCTACTTTGTCTGAACAATTAAATAGAGGGAAAAAACCGCATGGTCCAGAGGAGATGATAAAAAGGCTGCAGCCCCACCGCACCAGCCAGACAACTCTCCTCTGCACCAGCTGCCTCCTCCTCTGGACCAGCCAGACAACTCTCCTCTGCACCAGCTGCCTCCTCCTCTGGACCAGCCAGACAACTCTCCTCTGCACCAGCTGCCTCCTCCTCTGGACCAGCCAGACAACTCTCCTCTGCACCAGCTGCCTCCTCCTCTGGACCAGCCAGACAACTCTCCTCTGCACCAGCTGCCTCCTCCTCTGGACCAGCCAGACAACTCTCCTCTGCACCAGCTGCCTCCTCCTCTGGACCAGCCAGACAACTCTCCTCTGCACCAGCTGCCTCCTCCTCTCCACCAGCTGCCTCCTCCTCTGGACCAGCCAGACAACTCTCCTCTGCACCAGCTGCCTCCTCCTCTGCACCAGCTGCCCACTCCTCTGGACCAGCCAGACAACTCTCCTCTGCACCAGCTGCCTCCTCCTCTGGACCAGCCAGACAACTCTCCTCTGCACCAGCTGCCTCCTCCTCTGGACCAGCCAGACAACTCTCCTCTGCACCAGCTGCCTCCTCCTCTGGACCAGCCAGACAACTCTCCTCTGCACCAGCTGCCTCCTCCTCTGCACCAGCTGCCCACTCCTCTGGACCAGCCAGACAACTCTCCTCTGCACCAGCTGCCTCCTCCTCTGGACCAGCCAGACAACTCTCCTCTCCACCAGCTGCCTCCTCCTCTGGACCAGCCAGACAACTCTCCTCTGCACCAGCTGCCTCCTCCTCTGCACCAGCTGCCCACTCCTCTGGACCAGCCAGACAACTCTCCTCTGCACCAGCTGCCTCCTCCTCTGCACCAGCTGCCCACTCCTCTGGACCAGCCAGACAACTCTCCTCTGCACCAGCTGCCTCCTCCTCTGGACCAGCCAGACAACTCTCCTCTGCACCAGCTGCTTCCTCCTCTGGACCATGCGGTTTTTTCCCTCTATTTAATTGTTCAGACAAAGTAGCCTCCTCATTAAACCCTCCGCCCAACATGTTAAAAAGAAAGCATACAGATAATTCACACCCTAAACAAAAGAAAAAGAAATGAATATTTCAAACAGTACTGTTAGCATTTGTGTTGTTTTGTAATGTTTTACCAAATCAAAGTCTATTGAAAGTTAACACAGGTGCTTTATGAAGACACACAGCACAAAGCTCATTTGCACTTTAGTTTCATTTATTTGTGTTGAAAGCTAAATGTTTAATAAGTAGAATTTAAAAGTTAAGGTTTATTTATATATTTAAGGTTGAATCTGGAAGTGTTCTTGTTGCCTGATCCAGTGTTTTTAGTTTTTGTATGTCATATCTGATGTCTAGTTTGGATGTTTAATCAGTTTACAGTTTACACATAAAATGTTAGTAATAACATCAATAATAATTAAAAAAAAGAAAATAGTATATTCACTTACTGTGATGTGGTATGTTTTTTTTTTTTTTTACATTATCACACAAATCCAAACTAGGGGTACTTGCAGAAAGGTCTTGGCAAGGTGAGGCTTTACATTTAAGTAACAATTCAATAGTCAGATGATGTATTTATTGCCAACAACTGATGTTTATAATAAACATCAGTTGTTGGCAATAAATAGATATAAATTATATGTATGAGCGTATAAAGGCGCTTATAAAAAACGCTTATTAGTGATCATTCTATGATTCATATAGATGGTTCAGGCTCAGGAATTTTTTCAACTTTAACCCATGCAAGCCTTTGCGGCGCGCTCTAAATTTACGTCACAAGCTAAATAGTATATATTCTAGTGTAATAAATATATACAGTAGTTGCATGTTTACATCTGTACTTGTTAGCATTAGCATTAGCATGAGGCCCCGGGACACAGTGGACGCACGTGGATCCATATATTCTGACATTATCCCTGCATATAAATCAGGCCCATACTTCTTCCATCTGGTTGTAAAGTCTGTGACAGTGGGAGCCATCGGGACTGTCTCGGTTACACACATTCTCATCAAGAAAACAAAACTTTCTTTCACCTTTCAACGTCCCCCGTGTTTGTAGTCCAAACGGGCGATTTAGTGCCACTCCAGGAGATTAGGCTTCTTTATGGTTATTGGGATGCAGCCTGGATTTGGATTGAGGACCGTGTTGTGTTTTGACAGACAACAAATCTGTGTCTCTGGCTCAGCTCTGGGGCTATTGTTTTGGGTCTTCCACTTGACCTTTTTCGTTTCATAACCCTCGGGATCTATGAATATTTTTAAAGGATTGTTTCTCTGTGTCCAGCTTTAGGCCTCGGAGAAGACCTCGCAGACTCAACGTGACAATCTGACTCACTCTCACAACCAATCAGAATCTCCCTCTCACTAAAGGACTTTAAATCCCGTCTCACCTTTTCTTTCCTTAATTTGGTTCTGGTAGATATCGCTGCATTACATCCCCCTCTCTCGCTCACTGTATGCTCTCCCTGTGTCCGCCTAGGTTTCCTCCAGGTACTCCGGTCTCCTCCAGGTGTCCTGTTTCCTCCAGGTGCTCCTGTTTCCTCCAGGTGCTCCGGTTTCCTCCAGGTGCTCCTGTTTCCTCCAGGTGCTCCGGTTTCCTCCAGGTGTCCTGTTTCCTTCTGGTGTCTTGCGAAATGTGCTACATAAATAAACATTACTCACTGTATGTTAAATCTTTCTACTAAGCAGAGTTTGATCCTTTCATGGCCAGACTTGCAGGTGAAAGCCAGATCCTGTCAGACTTCTGAAGCTAAGCAGGGCGGTCCTGATTAGCACTGTGATGGGAGACCTCTGGGAACACATAGAGTGCTGAATTTGTGGTTGTGTCCTTAGGCAAGACACTTCCCCCACAGTAGAATGAGTTTGGTGTGTGTGTGAATTGGTGGTGGTGGGAGGGGCCGATGGCACAGACTGGTTGCCTCGCTTCTGTCAGTGTGCCCCAGGGCAGCTGTGGCTACGAAAGAAGTTTATTACCACCATAAAATAGCTTCTTTCCTCAGGCAGTTAAACGACTGAACAGAGCGCCCTGATGTCTGCTTATCTTTTGTAGCTCCATCACCTAAGTAAGTAAGTAAAGTTTATTTGTATAACGCAGACCAGGATCACAAAGCGCTTCACATTTAAAACAAATACAATAATACACATACAAGTCAAAAAAGTGTAGTGTAATGTTTTTAAGATTTTTATATGTGTCTTGTATGTATGTGTGTGTGTCTTCATTGTATGCTGTTTGTTTTGTATCTAGTGTATTCTGATCCTGATGTGTGAAGCGTGATTTAAAAGCCAATGAATTATTATTATTATCATTATCACTGGATAAAAACAAGTCAAACCGGATCGATCGGTTACCGCGGCGACACTTAAACTAGCTCAGACTCGTTTCACGACCTAATTGTAAGCGGCGTGTCTCGATGGCATCTCACTCCAAATGATTTAGAGCAAGGCTGATAATACCTGTGACTAATGTCCGGTCCACATAACGGTGTCTCTCCATTGTGTGCGTAATGGTGCAGTGGTCTGACATCGGTCTAGTTCCTGATAACCCCACGCCGGGCGCTCCGTCAGAGCCCCTAAGCTAGCTTTCAGCACATCACAGAGAAAACATAAAAGCTTTAATTGAAAGTGTGCGGACAAAGGGTTAGCGTTCCGGGCCGTCCCAGTTTAACCGCTATTGACTCACGTTGGCTTACTTTGGAAAGGGAGGGGAGAGGAAATGAGCATTCAGGACAATATAGCTACTTCAACAAAAGCCCAGCATGCAATTCATCAACAAGAAGAAACAACAATGGCGCCTAAACCATTCTTTACCTGCCGAGAAGGAGCGATGTCGCCGGCTTATCTCTCTGCGATTTATTATCTACTCATCTTCTTAAAGGGAGAGAGAGAAAGCTGGTCTGTGATTGCAGTGGAGTTCATCAGGACACGGAGCGAGCAGAACGGAGCGAGCAGAACGTAACGAGCAGAACGGAACGAGCAGAACGGAACGAGCAGAACGTAACGAGCAGAACGGAGTGAGCAGAACGGCAGCTCGCTCTGAAAACAGTCTGACTTGATGGATTTAGCGAGAAAGTCCGTCTCTGTATTTGTGCAGTGCGTTTCAAAGACCAAGCCGAGTTTTTTGCGTACTGGCATTTTCCCATTCGAACACACTGAGGCATTAAAACCTCCGACCCAACACCTTCCTGTTCACTCACACGGCAAAAAGTCATGAAAAGTAAGAAAATAAATGACAAAATACAGCAACAGTTCTTGAAAAAAGATTATTACCCCATAATTTATGTTTTTGCAGTGCACTGCGTTACATGCATTCCTATTGTATATGTTTTTAGTGGTAGGGGAAACCTTAGCACCTGGAGGAAACCTAGGCAGGTATGGGTAGAACATGCAAACTCCTCACAGAAAGGCTCGTCTGGAGGCCCGTCTGGAGGCCCGTCTGGAGGCCCGTCTGGAGGCCCGTCTGGAGGTCCGTCTGGAGGTCCGTCTGGAGGTCCGTCTGGAGGCCCGTCTGGAGGTCCGTCTGGAGGCCCGTCTGGAGGTCCGTCTGGAGGTCCGTCTGGAGGTCCGTCTGGAGGCCCGTCTGGAGGTCCGTCTGGAGGTCCGTCTGGAGGCCCGTCTGGAGGCCCGTCTGGAGGCCCGTCTGGAGGTCCGTCTGGAGGCCCGTCTGGAGGTCCGTCTGGAGGCCCGTCTGGAGGCCCGTCTGGAGGTCCGTCTGGAGGCCCGTCTGGAGGCCCGTCTGGAGGTCCGTCTGGAGATCCGTCTGGAGGTCCGTCTGGAGGTCCGTCTGGAGGCCCGTCTGGAGGTCCGTCTCCTCGCTGCGCCGCTCCATCACTTATCATTATACAGTGTACACAGATGTTTATATACTTAACTAATTTACTACAGTACTTTTTATAAACTGTGTATTATGTGTGTGTGTGTGTATGAATCTGTGTGTGTCTGTGTATATATAAGTGTCTGTGTATGAATGTGTGTGTGTGTGTGTGTGTGTATGCTTATGGGTATACATTTGTGTATGTATATTTGTGTGCATATATGTGTATTTTTGTACATGTGTGTGTGTGCATATAAGTGTGTGCGTCTGTGTTTGTGTATGTGTATGCTTATGGGTATACATTTGTGTATGTATACTTCTGTGCATATATGTGTATATTCGTAAGTGTGTGTGTGTGCATGAATGTGTGTGTGTGTCTGTGTATGAATGTGTGTGTGTGTCTGTGTATGAGTGTGTGTGTATGAGCATTTAAGTGTGTGTGTGTGTCTGTGTATGAGTGTGTGTGCACATTACCCTGACGCAGCAGTTCTTGTTATGTTCAGCCGTTTGCTTCTGTATCAACTGTGCTATACAAAAAAACTTGCCTTGACATTTTATCTACTGTTTAATGTCTGTTGTTTCTGAGAAAATGAACCAATTCACTTCAATTCAATGAAACAAATATGATGATAAAAATGTCTTTCTGTGAAGCTGGAATCCTCAGCTGTGAATGTAGCGGAAAACACCCGAGCCATGGACTCAGCAGGACCTCCTCTCCAACACTTGTTACATCTGCACGGGCCCCCAGCAGGAGCCCCCAGCAGGAGCCCCCAACAGGAGCCCCCAACAGGAGCCCCCAGCATTGGGCCCCCAGCAGGAGCCCCCAGCACGGCTCCTCCCGGCTGCAGGGGCCTCTCTGCTTCCTGCTCCAGCGACGGCTTCCTCTCGAAGTCAATAAACCCCAGAATCTCTGATCAGAGCAAGTGGCTGATTATGGGAAAGAGATTTTGAATTAAAGCAGAATTAGTAGCATCGACAGAAGAGGTGAGACACACACACACACACACACACGTACACACACGTACACACGCACACACATGTACACACACACACACGTACACACACACACAGAGGGAGACTCAAACTGCTGAACAAAACAAGGAAATAGACATAAAAATAAAAGCTTTACAGTATTAATAATAATCAGTGGTCGACAGTGGCTCAGAGCATTGGCTTTGATCGATCCCATCACGAGACCTTCTCCACCGACTCCCACTGACGTCTGCTGTCGTTATGTCCTCGGGCAAGACACTTAACCCCACTTTGCCTGAACCCCCCACTGAGGGATCTCAGCTCCTGTGGACTCAGCACCTGCAGGAGGATCAGTGAGGGGCTGGTGCTCTGACTGCCATCCCCGACAGTTGTCTGCAGATACAGAGAACAGATTTTAACCTGGATTTGAACATTGTCAGAGAAGAAGCCTGTCTCATATTTTCAGGAAGACTGTTTTAGCTTAACAGATTTTAGCTGCAAACATCTGAAATGTTGCCTCCCCATGTTTAGTCCTGACTCTGGGACCAGCAGGAGGCCAGTCCCTGTGCTCCTCAGAGTCCCAGCAGGAGGCCAGTCCCTGTGCTCCTCAGAGTCCCAGCAGGAGGCCAGTCCCTGTGCTCCTCAGAGTCCCAGCAGGAGGCCAGTCCCTGTGCTCCTCAGAGTCCCAGCAGGAGGCCAGTCCCTGTGCTCCTCAGAGTCCCAGCAGGAGGCCAGTCCCTGTGCTCCTCAGAGTCCCAGCAGGAGGCCAGTCCCTGTGCTCCTCAGAGTCCCAGTAGGAGGCCAGTCCCTGTGCTCCTCAGAGTCCCAGTAGGAGGCCATGTAGAGACTGAGCTTGAAGTTGCAGAGATGGGGAGACGCAAACAGGAGCTGACAGCAGGTTTTCGTTAATTAGCTAAAAACCTCCAACACAACCTGTTCAGTGTGACAAGTGTCCGTCACAGAAGCCATTAGTCCCATTAGTGTGTGTGTATTCTGCTGAGGCGGCAGAAACATCCCAGCTCTAAACAAAGGCTCCCATTTGAACTATGAATAACCCTGCTCCGGCAAACGCTGTCAGTGTGAACGCCGCGGCCCAATTAGCCTCGCCGCGGATGTCACGGTCCTCGGCGAGATGCTCAGGACCAATGAACCATCAAGTGGAAATAGATTTTCTGCTAAAATCTGAGGTTATATTTGTAACTATTGTAGGAGCTCCACTCTATGGTACGAGGATTACCACAGCAACACAAACAGCTACACACAATCTGCACTGGACAGAAAGTTTCTCTCTCTCCGGTCTCCCTTTCTATAGTCTCTCTCTGGTCTCCCTCTGCTCTCTCTGGTCTCTCTCTGGCTTCTGGTCTCTCTGGTCTCTTTCTAGTCTCTCTCTGGTCTCTCTCTGGTATCTCTCTGGTCTCTCTCAGGTCTCTCTCTAGTCTCTCTCTAGTCTCTCTCTAATCTCTCTCTGGTCTCTCTCTGGTCTCTCTCTGGTCTCTCTCAAGTCTCTCTCTGGTCTCTCTCTGACCTCTGGTCTCTCTGTAGTCTCTCTCTGGTCTCTCTCTGGCCTCTCTGGTCTCTCTTGTCTCTCTCTGGTCTCTCTCTGGTCTCTCTCTTGTCTCTCTCTAGTCTCTCTCTAGTCTCTCTCTGGTCTCTCTCTGGTCTCTCTCTGGTCCCTCTCTGGTCCCTCTCTTGTCTCTCTTTGGTCTCTCTCTGGTCTATCTGGTCTCTCTCTGGTCTCTCTGGTCTCTCTCTGGTCTCTCTCTGGTCTCTCTCTTGTCTCTCTCTCTAGTCTCTCTCTGGTCTCTCTGGTCTCTCTGGTCCCTCTCTTGTCTCTCTCTGGTCTCTCTGGTCTCTCTGGTCTCTCTCTGGTCTCTCTCTGGTCTCTCTGGTCTCTCTCTGGTCTCTCTCTTGTCTCTCTCTTGTCTCTCTCTCTAGTCTCTCTCTGGTCTCTCTGGTCTCTCTCTGGTCTCTCTCTTGTCTCTCTCTCTAGTCTCTCTCTGGTCTCTCTGGTCTCTCTCTGGACAAACTGGACAGAAAGGAGGAGGGATGAACATATGTCAGAAGTTAGTTTGGTGTAGTAACTTCACCATGATACAAACTGGACTATAAGCCTCACATTAGGTGAGAAGGTAAAAGTGCTCTTCAGGATCTGTCTGAAAAGAGAATAAAGGTCAAAAAAGACAGGTAAAAATTAAAGGTCAGAAATATAAAAGAAAAAAATAAATAAAATAAAAACGTAAAAGAATCAATTTATAAAAAAGGTATTAAAAAAAGGCAGAAAATTAGGTAAAAAATAGGGTAAAATAATCAGCCTTATCCAGGGAAACCAACACGTTTGACCGATTACTGTGGGTTATTGTTTATTTTCTCTGCTTCTCTTTTGTTTTACTGATTTTGTACCTTCTAGATGCCCAAATAAACACATACAGTATATTATTATTATTATTTTCATTGGGGCAGACGGTAAAAGCCACATGTTGTTTGTAAATGACCCAAACGGACCAGATCCAGTTTGGTCTTTCTCCTGAATGTGTCCTGTGTCAACTATTTGACGACTTTTACCTGTTTTTCTGTGTCAACGGCCGTTCTTCAACATCGCTGCAGTTATTTTAAGGAAGTCTTATCAACACACTCTCTGTCTGTCTCTCTCTGTGGCTTTCTGGTCTCTCTCTCTCTCCCTCTGAAATCTGTCTCCGTCTGTCTCCCTCTGGTATCTGTCTATGTCTCTCTCTACACAGCGCCGCAAATGGCAAAGTGGCACGCTCTCTGGCAAAACCATTTCGAAGTGGCAATAAAAATGATTCTGATTCTGTCTCCTTCTGGTCTCTCTGTCTCCGTCTGTCTCTCTCGCTCTCCGTCTCCCTCTGGTCTCTGTCTCTCTCTCTGTCTCCTTCTGGTCTCTGTCTCTCACTGGTCTGAGAGAGAAAGAGCCAGTGTCTCCGTCTGTCTGTCTCGTTCTCTCTGTCTCTCTGTGGTCTCTGTATTTCTATGGTCTCTCTCGCTCTCTGTCTCCTTCTGGTCTATCTAAGTCTCCTTCTGGTCTCTGTCTCTACCCTTCTCTCTCCCTCTCCCCCCCCTCTCTCTCTGGTCTCTGCCCTCTCTCTGCTCTCCCTCTCTCTCTGCTCTCCCTCTCTCTCTGCTCTCACTCTCTCTCTGCTCTCCCTCTCTCTCTGCTCTCCCTCTCTCTCTGCTCTCACTCTCTCTCTGCTCTCCCTCTCTCTCTGCTCTGCTGCTTGGGCGGCACGGTGGCTGAGTGGTTAGCACTCTCGCCTCTCAGCAAGAAGGTCCTGGGTTCGAATCCCGGCCGGACCAGGGCCTTTCTGAGTGGAGTTTGCATGTTCTCCCCGTGTCTGTGTAGGTTTCCTCCGGGTACTCCGGTTTCCCCTACCACTAAAAATATGTACAATAGGTCTGGCATGCGCCTCCTGTTCAGCGACCCCGCTCCCATCTCTGTGTGGAGTGAGTGGACCAATGCCCAAAAAATAACAATTGTAAACCGCTTTGTGACTCTGGTCTGTGAAAGGTGGTATATAAATAAAGCTTACTCTCCCTCTCTCTCTGCTCTCCCTCTCTCTCTGCTCTCTCTCTCTCTCTCTGCTCTCCCTCTCTCTCTGCTCTCCCTCTCTCTCTGCTCTCACTCTCTCTCTGCTCTCCCTCTCTCTCTGCTCTCCCTCTCTCTCTGCTCTCCCTTTCTCTCTGCTCTCCCTCTCTCTCTGCTCTCCCTCTCTCTCTGCTCTCTCTCTCTCTGCTCTCCCTCTCTCTCTGCTCTCTCTCTCTGCTCTCCCTCTCTCTCTGCTCTCCCTCTCTCTCTGCTCTCTCTCTCTCTCTGCTCTCCCTCTCTCTCTGCTCTCCCTCTCTCTCTGCTCTCCCTCTCTCTCTGCTCTCCCTCTCTCTCTGCTCTCCCTCTCTCTCTGCTCTCCCTCTCTCTCTGCTCTCCCTCTCTCTCTGCTCTCCCTCTCTCTCTGCTCTCTCTCTCTCTCTCTCTCCTCTCTCTCTCTGCTCTCTCTCTCTCTGCTCTCCCTCTCTCTCTGCTCTCCCTCTCTCTCTCTCTCTCTGCTCTCCTCTCTCTGCTCTCCTCCTCTTCTCTCTCTCTCTGCTCTCCCTCTCTCTCTGCTCTCCTCTCTCTCTCTCTGCTCTCCCTCTCTCTCTGCTCTCCCTCTCTCTCTGCTCTCCCTCTCTCTCTGCTCTCCTCTCTCTCTCTGCTCTCCCTCTCTCTCTGCTCTCCCTCTCTCTCTGCTCCTCTCTCTCCCTCTCTCTCTGCTCTCCTTCTCTCTCTGCTCTCCCTCTCTCTCTGCTCTCCCTCTCTCTCTGCTCTCCCTCTCTCTCTGCTCTCCCTCTCTCTCTGCTCTCCCTCTCTCTCTGCTCTCCCTCTCTCTGCTCTCCCTCTCTCTCTGCTCTCCCTCTCTCTCTGCTCCCTCTCTCTCTGCTCTCCCTCTCTCTCTGCTCTCCCTCTCTCTCTGCTCTCCCTCTCTCTCTGCTCTCCCTCTCTCTCTGCTCTCCCTCTCTCTCTGCTCTCCCTCTCTCTCTGCTCTCCTCTCTCTCTCTGCTCTCCCTCTCTCTCTGCTCTCCCTCTCTCTCTGCTCTCCCTCTCTCTCTGCTCTCCCTCTCTCTCTGCTCTCCCTCTCTCTCTGCTCTCCCTCTCTCTCTGCTCTCCCTCTCTCTCTGCTCTCCCTCTCTCTCTGCTCTCCCTCTCTCTCTGCTCTCCCTCTCTCTCTGCTCTCCCTCTCTCTCTGCTCTCCCTCTCTCTCTGCTCTCTCTCTCTCTGCTCTCCCTCTCTCTCTGCTCTCCCTCTCTCTCTCTCCCTCTCTCTCTGCTCTCCCTCTCTGCTCTCCCTCTCTCTCTGCTCTCCCTCTCTCTCTGCTCTCCCTCTCTCTCTGCTCTCCCTCTCTCTCTGCTCTCCCTCTCTCTCTGCTCTCCTCCTCTCTC